CTTTCCCAAGACGTGGCCCACTTCATCAGTAGCCACACTTCTAGGAACCATCTTTGACTTCTTCTCTATCTCTCCTCCTCAGTCAACTCACAGATCAGACCATGTCATATCCTCACTTATATCCATAATCTAGAGCTGTGTGCTAATAGTGCAATCACTGTTCACTACTTGCCACGTGGCTAGTGAGAATGAAGAGCTGCATTTTAAATTTAATCATAGTTGGTTACAATAGCTTCATGTAATGAGTAGCTACCATATCAGAGCGCACAGGAACATAGACTCTTCAAGTGGCCACTCTGTCCCCAGCTTCTTGTTTCATCTTCAAGCTCTACTATGTCTTTCCTTAAGCTCTATGCTAAGTCTGGGGAAAGCTGCTAATGGATATAAGCCAAGATCTGGAGCAAATCTGCATTTTACGAAGATTGACTTGTCTTCTATGAGGTGAATTAATTGGGGTGTCAAGAAGATCAGCGAGATCACAAGGTGTCAACGGGATCAGGTATCAGGCATCAGAAGACCCCAAACCAACAATCATAACAATGTGAATGAGGGGCGTTGGAGTGGAGACACAAAGCCCATCTGTAGCCAATAGGACATCCCCTCACAGAAGGATCACAAGGAAGGGATGAGGAAGCCAGGGTTCAGTATAGCACAAATGAAACCCACAACATTCCTCCAGTTCTTTAATGCTTCCTCCCCACCACCATCATGACCCCAGTTCTAGCTTACAAATCTGGCTAGACTGGAACATATACACTGGTATAGATGAGCACTCTCAACACACAGAATCCAGGACAGATAAACCCTGTCAGGAACGGTAATGGGAGCAGCAATACCATGAGTGTAAGGGCAAGGTGGAGGGAGAAGGGGGAGAAAGGGGAAACCGATCACAGTGATTAACGTATAATACCCCCACCCCCACCCCAGGGGGATGAACAACAGAAATGTGGGTGAAGGGAGACAGTGGAAGGTGTAAGATATGAAAATAATAATAAATTATAATTTATTAAGGGGTCATGATGGGAGGGAAGGAAGAAGGAGGAGCTGATACCAAGGGCTCAAGTAGAAAGAATATGTTTTGAAAATTATGATGGCAACAGATGTACAAATGTGCTTGATACAATTGATGTACGGATTGTTATAAGAGCCCCCAATAAAATTATTTATAAAAAAATAAAAGGTGACGCGCCAGATGAGCTGTGCTACTGTAAAGATAGCCAAGAGAAGAGCAGGAGGTATTGCCAGACTTTAGTGATTTATTGCATTAGGGAGTTCAGGAAAGTGTCGCAAGTGCAACCAGGTTCCTGGCTTGCACAGCTGTGGGGACAATGTTACCCATTCAATGTGACAGAGAACTGGATGTGGAAGTAGGTTCATGAGTTCAAATATGATCTTGTTGGGTTTGAGGTCTTGAGATACACAAGTGGAGGTGTTGTGCAGGGACTCCAGACCAGAAGAGAAATTTGAGCAAGAGACAGATGTGAGAGTGAGCAACATATAGCTGGTAACTGAAAACATGAGCCATGACATTACCTAAGGATGGCTAAAAGGAGAAGGTCTATGATTAAACCTAGAAAATTCCATCTTCTGAAGGAGGATATACTGGCAATGAGGAGGAGGAGGAAAACCAGGATCAGGTGTCCTGGAAGCTGTGGGAAGAGAATGTCATAAGGGGAGTGGTCAATGGAGTCAAATGTTGACAAGGCTTCATGCCTTTCAAGACTCATTTATTGTTGCTTTTATTGTTGAAACCTTGTATTTTCAGTAATGGAAGGCGTTTTCAATGATATGGAAAACTTTAATGATATGGATAGTGGGACACGTATGTCCCAAGGATCTGTGGTGATGGCTTTTGTGGTATGATGTCCATTTCTTCATATTCAGGCATGCAGGCCTTCACCAAATGGCAGCATGTACAAAAAAGAGGGGTAACAGCTTCTCACCAAACTCTAGAAGCATAAAATGTAGGTGGGCTCTTTGTATCCCATGGGTCATGAAAGAGTGAGGGAAAGAAGAACATGCTTCCATTTGACTTAGTGACAGGGAGGCTACTGAAGCCCCCAGCAAGGGTTGTGCAGGCCGAAGCCAGATAGAGTAGATTAGGGTTGAGCAGAGCAAGCTGAAGAATGGTGTCAGCAACTCCTTCCACAAATTTGGCTCTAAAAGAAAGAGAGAAGCTATGAGACATGACATGCTAATCCTGATGCGAAGTAGCCAGCAAAGAAGAAAGTGAATATGAACCAATGGAGAAGAATTTCTTTTTTTTTTTTTTCTCCTTTTAATATCACTTTATTGGGGGTTCATACACTCTTATCCCAATCCATCCATCCATCCATCCATTGTGTCAAGAGCTTTCAGAACATCAGTGTTTTTTTTTGTTTGTTTTTTTTAACATTTTATTAGGGGCTCATACAACTGTTATCCCAATCCATACACACATCAATTGTGTAAAGCGCATTTGTACATTGTTTCTCAAAACATTTTCTCTCCATTTAAACCCCCGACATTAGGTCCTCATTTTTCCCCTCCCTCCCCGCTCCCCCCTCCCGCATGAGCCCTTGATAGTTTACAAATGGGTATTTTGTCATATCTTGCCCTGTCCGACTTCTCCCTTCATCCACTTTTCGGTTGTCCGTCCCCCAGGGAGGAGGCCACACACAGTTCCATGCAATTGGTTCCCTCTTTCCTACCCACTCTCCCTCCACCTCCCTGTTTTGCCACTCACACCACTGGTCCTATAGGGCTCATCCATCCTGGATTCCCTGTATTTTCAGTTCCTATCTGTACCAGTGTACCTCCTCTGGTCTAGCCAGTCTTGCAGAGAAGAATTTCTTTAAAAGGTGGAAAGAGCTGGCCTCCCAAGAACTCACAAGAAGACCGACCTTAGGCAGGACTGGGGTCAGCCTCCTCTGTCAGAGGAAAGGACAAGAGAAAGGCGGAAGTAAAGATACTTTGGAGATTGGGTGGGGTTATTTAGGAGTTTTCTGCTGTGTTTTTTATCTTCCTAGAATAGACAAGGTTGCCTGTTGAGAATGAGATTGGAAACACTGGAAGTCAAGAAAATGAGAAAAACGTAAAAAACAGCTGTGGGAAATTGGAGAGTGAAATGATTCATAAAAGAGCCTGTCACTTGGCTGAGGGTCTAAGTGTGTCCCCAGGTATTTGGGTGTGGAGACAGAACAAATGGACTTGATCACAGGCTTGAAATGCAACCAGTCAAGGGCTGCTCCAAGAACAGAGGGAAAGGGAGCGTCAGCCATTGTCAAGAAAACAGTGTAAATAATGGACCGTGGGAACTAAGTAGAATGGCTAAGGGTGTAGAGAGAGGCCATGTCTAATGGATTCAGAAAAGTGAGGAGTCAATGTATTGAACCCCCAGAGAGAGGAGGAAAAATCGTTATGAGAGATTAAATTACCGATGTTTAAGGAAAGAAGAATATTCTGGAAAGCAGAGCGCTTGCAGTAAGTGTTTGGTGAGGGAAGACAGTATGAGGACATGGGAGTGTGTGATGGAGCATTTTTTAAAGTCCCTGCGGTGGACTCGGACCATCCATGAGGAGATTGGGGCACATGGAAAGCTGGGACCCAGGGGGTTAAGTTGGAGAGGCAGCATTAGAAGGGCAATATTGTAATTATAACTTCTTAACCCAAAATACAGTTTTGTTACAGTTGGTTTATTTCGTTCTTCCTAGCATACTGCCACATAAAGATGAACAATACGCCAACACTTTTGAAAGTTTTTCATGATGTTTGCTATTGTTGGGTGCAGTTGGGTTGAAATTTGATGCCATACGACAGAGTAGAACTACCCCACCGGTGTGTTTGTTTTTCCAGGAGGGACCTGGTGGCACAGTGGTTAAGTGCTTGGCTGCTAAGTGAAAGGTCAAACCCAGCAGCTGCTCTGAGGAAGAAATGTGGCTGCCTGCTGTCATAAAGAGTTTTAAAAACTAGAACCAGACAGTGCTATTGAGTCGATGCCAACTGTATAGTGTAGTGTAGAACTGCTACTGTGGGTTGCTGAGCCTAACTCTTTATGGGAGTAGAAAGCCTCCTCTTTCTCCCTTGGAGTAGTTTCAAACTGTTGACCTTGTGATTAGCAGCCCGATGTGTAGCCAGTACACCACAGCCTGGAAACCCCTGTGGAGCAGCTCTACTCATTCTGTAGGCTCCCTGGGAAGCAGAATGGGCGTGAAGACAATGAGTGTTGCTTATGTTTCATTGTTTTTGGAATCTCCGTGAGAACAGCACACCAGGTCTTCCTCCGGAGCCTCCGCTCCAAGGCTTCAAACCACCAACCTCCTGTGAACAGCCAAGCACTTAATGCCACTAGGCTCTATCTTTAATGATGATGACAGGGCTTATCTATTTCACCTCACCAACCAGAGCTTCTTCACCTGGAGCCCGTTCCGGGTGCTGTTGGCCCTGTTCCCCTCACATGGAGGGCTCTGGGGCAGTGAGTGAGGTTTCTCAGTTCTTAAAGGTCCTTAAAGACAGTACCGAGGTTAAGAGAAATATTCAGTGATGAGTTGCATCTAACTACAGATGCAACATGTGTTACAGGTGAGCTAAGTTTTTAAAAACCTGCACAACTCATAGTTGGGCCATTGCATCATACTTAACACACACCAACAAAGCCCCCAGGGTCCCCAAGGGAACACTGGTTCTTAGAATCCTTTTGTTGAGTGAAGAATTAGCCTTCTCTTTATGAGTTCTGATTTCTCATATGGGCTTTTCTAAGCAGGACACACAGGAACGGAATATCAATTTGGGGGCACGGGATTAGTTAAGCAGAAAGGAAGATGGGAGCAGGGCAACATTTAGGTTATCTGTGACCCGCTCAAGCCCTTCAGAATTTGCAGCAGTGGTTGATAGAGGAGGAGGTCCCTCGGCTCCTTTGTAATGACTTCATTGCAGTGACAGATGGGACAGTGAAATCAGTGGGTCTCAGCTGCTCTGCAATGTCTCTTCTTGAATCTTTACTTTTGATGCTTCAAATTCAGGTGTAAAGCCGACGGTGGCCCTGTGTCAGCAGAAGTGTAGACGAAGTGGGACGCTGGAGAACAATTATTGCTCCAGTAACTTTGGTAAGAAATAACGAGTTTTTTCTCTTTCAGCAGAAGCTTGAGAAGGATGCTTTATCTCAGCGGAATGTGGATTCAGGGGAGGTCAATAGCACCGTTCATTTGGTCCAGGAAAGGATTTTCACACACATCAGGGAGTGTTAACTGATAAGGCTAAACTGATTACATCTCACAACTGAGAAAAGTATATACTCAGAAGCTATATGTTGTTTTGCCTCCCCCACCCCATCCCCAATAAACAAATAAGTCGACATGAAACTACTATTCTGGCTGAGGTTTCTTTTGAAAAAGCAAAAAAATCCCTTAAAAACATGTATACCCCCCTCCCCACTTTTTAAAATGTACTGAGGTGGGGTTTTTGTTGTTGTTTTTCCCACATAATTTTAATTCACTTTAAGTAAATTAGAAACATATTCAAGTTCCATTCAGAAGCCGGCCTCTCCAAGAAGGAATTCGGTATTTCCGCTGTGGTGGAACCTGAGAAGATATTACTTAATAGTTTTTCATTTCTGTGACTTTTCTGCTTTCTTTTTTTCTTTAATATATGTTAATTTCCTATTTCTGGAATTTTTTGTTCTCTGTCATTTTCTTCACTTTAAAAGAAAATATAAAAAGAAGCCATTTCAGAGCAGCACAAGATACTACATTTAATGATGTTGGCTATTTTTCAAAGCAGCTTATAAGGAACATTTAAAAGAAAAGTCTTGTCAGGGGAAGAAAAGAGGGAAAAAGTCTCCCTTTTTCTGGGTCTGACAGAGGTGGCCTGGCTGCAGCTTGAGCAGCATGTCCCTGTGAAGGTGGGACTGAGGGCGGTGCCCAGGCTTTGCTGGAGCGTGTGTGCTGCCGTTCCAAGCCCTGCCACACCAAGGGCAACAAGCTACCACCGCGTCACAGCCTCCTGTGGGCCATGCTTCAGAAAGCCCCAGGGGAACTCTTAGATCTCTCAGGGGAGAGATCTACCTCAGTCCTTGGCTCCACACGAGAAAGAATTCACGCCAAAGCCTGGCTTGTGATCCGAGTGAGTTTTATGAGAGTTACAAGAAGGTTCAGGTTTACACGGCACCCGCAAGGCCCTCACCCTGTGCAGCCTCCCAAGAAGCTGCTCAAAAAGTCATGGCTCCGGGCTCCTGCCTTTTCAATTATTTTGCAGGAGGCGGGGTGGACGACCCTGGTCGACCCCACTGGCCGAATTGAATTCACCTGGCCTAGCTGGGCCAATCCAGGTGCAGCACCCACCCAGCTGTACCTCCCCTTCCTGGCGGGAAACCTGGACCTATGAGCATGTGCAGTGTGCCACTCCTCTGGGCATGCATAATGGACGCCCCAGCCCCTAAGCTAAACTACCTAACAGAACCACTCCATTTCACTCTGCTCCAGAATGACATGTCCCCGGGAGCTCACCTCACCGGGAGTCCACCAAGCCGTGGTTAGAATTGGATTTGATGAGCTTGGCATGCTCCATAAGAAGGGGCCTCCGAGAAGGACAGGTTATCACCAGTGCCTGCTGGTGCTCAGCCTGGTTTAGTGATGCTTCCCTGGGGCCGTCCTAGGTGGTCACAGTAACCGGGGTGCATCGTTGGTCCAGCCCCACAGGAATTGTTTTCCCCCAATACTGAAAGCCCCCTTTGGGAAGAACAGCGCCTTCTGTGGCTCTGAGGGAAGAGGGGGTGGTGGGGGGTGGTGTGTGTGTGTGTGTGTGTGTGTATGTATGTGTGTGTAACAGCATCATAAAAAGCAGTGGTCTTGCTTTCTTCCCCAAATATACCATTTCTGTACTTAAAATTCAGGAAAAGCAACTATATTTTGGTAGGGATTAAAAACGAAAACAAGAAATTGTTTCCAATGAGACCTTAATTGACTTGTTAGCTGAATTTAACCTTGTGAAGAAGAGATGTTAAAGGCTCAGAGGAAGAGATTTACTGATAACCAGAGAGCAGTGAGACCTGGGCTGAATCCATGATTCAGGGGAGAGGGGAGCTGAATAGAGAGGGTGACATACTTGACCAGACAGCCACCCACCTAGACACCGGTGGGTAGATGTCAGTGGCTGAGCCCCTCATCACACCCAATCAGAAGCAGCTTAGCCTGGTATTGCTGCCTCTAAGAATTGCGCTGAAGGCTCACAGCAGGAGCCTCATCTACTGGTCGCTTACTTGGTGACTGACCTGCAGGTGAATTTAAGCATCCTGAAAGTCCCCTGCTGGCAACAGCTACAGTGTGACTGCTATCTGTGCTCCCTCCTGGGTAATTCAAACCTGACTTTTACTGACAAAGGCGCACAGTCAGATTTGAGAGTTCATTTAGAGCCTTATCTTTAACTTAAAATTTTGCTGTGTCTGGAACTTAGGAGAATGTAGAACTCTTTTGAGTTCTGCCGCTGTTTGCCTCCTGCCATGATATCAGAAATGTGTTCTTTGCAGTATTGTCCGGCACTGTTGTCACCACTGTCACTCGTGGGGGGAGCCTGCATGCCACCGTCTCCATCATCAACATCTATAAAGAGGGGAGCCTGGCCATTCAGCAGGCAGGCAAGAACATGAGTGCCAAGGTCATCGTGGTCTGCAAGCAGTGTCCTCTCCTCCGAAGAGGTGAGTGCTGAGTACATACTCCCCATGAGCTTGGGGACAGAGAAGGACAAGTCTCAGAGTAGCTCTGGCACCTTCACATGTTCGGTCCACTCTGTTGTTCTCAGGTGCCATTCCATCCATTCCAACTCCTACTGACCCTACAGGATAGAGCAGGCGGGCCCACAGGGTTTTCTATCAGGGCGAGTGCCAGGGCTTTACTCTTGTGCAGGGTCCAGTGGATTAAAGCCATTTGCTTTCCAGTTAGCAGCTGAATGCTTAACCATTGCACTACCAGTGTGCTCTATAAGACCTCCAAACCCTTGCATGGAATTGATTCTGACCCACAGTGAACTGTATATAGGGTTTTCAAGACTGCAAATCTTTACGGAAGTAAAAAGCCTCATCTTTCTCTCACAGATGAGTGGGTGGGTTTGAACTGCTGACGTTGAGGCTTAGCCTACAGTGCGCCCAGGGCTTCTTTGAAGTAAGTTAGAGAAGTATATCTGGTTAAGATGGAAAGATCTGAGACTCATTTGCCAGAGGGACCATTAAATCAACCGATGAGAACGAGTTTAAGAGAAATCGTAGAAAAAGGAAAGGGCCCAGAACCCTGGGCACAGGACTTTTGTAAAACTGAGTTCTTAAGTTAAAAAAGTAATACATGTTCTTCAGTGTTACAAAAGTTAAGTAAGTAGAGAAGGGCATAAACCTGAAAATCCTCTTTCCCTGCCCCAGAGGTCCTATGAATAATTCCTTCCAGAAGGTTTTTATGTGAGGTGTGTGCACATGCGTCTGTGAACACACACTTCAGCCATTCACGTTCTGCTGCGTCTCACTCACAGAGTGTGTGTGCATGTGTGCGTGCGCAGCGGCCATGCAAATGGTGCGCTCTCTCTCTGGCACGGTAGGGATGCACAGCGGCGCTGTGTATCACGTGATATCAACATCTATTCTCAAACCATCCTTTTTCTCAGTCTGGCCATAATTTTTTTCCACAATCAAACCAAACAAATACGACATGCACAGATGGAGCTACAGAACAATCAGAAGTGTCTGGCCGCCTGCTGGTGTCCCTTGGAGGGAAAAGCAAAGGCCTTCAGGCAAGAAACACAGCCTTCCGAATCTGCTTAAGGAGTCTTTGGGTGGTGCAAATAGTTCAGTGCCCAGCTAGCCAAAAGTTGGTGACTAGACAGTGAGAACCCACCCAGGGGTGCCCCAGCAGCCTGATGGAGCAGTGCCCTGGCACACGGGGTTGCCATGGGTTGGAATCAACTTGGCGCGAACTGACAACAATGGCAAAATGGCTTTGAATACCAAACAATGCAAACTGTGAGAACACATGGCCCCATCATGGCGCCAGCATCTACCTGTCAACTCTACCAAGCTTTCCTTGGCTCCAGACCACCATGGTGAGAGTCAGCACCCAGAGGAAGGTTATGCAGGAGAAGAAGGAAATACATAGTTACTTATACAACACACCAGTGGAAGATGAGAACTCAGGCGGTAATAATATGCATGAGAGAATGTGACATTTTGGGAGACAGTGTTGAACCTAACACACCACCCACACTGTAGACCTCATTCAAAAACTAACACCGAAGCATTAAAATATAGTGCAACAGAAAGAAATACATTCTAATACTTTTTGTTTGTTTGTTTTTGGTTCCAAACTTTAAGAATGGAAACATTAAGACTCATCCATGTCCTCAAGAAGTGGGCAAAGTTTCAGTGCCTGAGATGGGGAGTAAAGCTCCTAACAAACAATAGAGTGGAGATTAGTTGGCAGATGTGTGGAAACCATGCAGCATTATAGGATACAGACCATCTGAGGATGGCGTGTCTGGGAGTGCTGGGGTCTGGAGGGAGGAGAGCCTTCCATGTAAACACGGTGCATTTTGTTCATTGAGGCCCTAAGTCAGCAGTGCTCAACCTGGGGGTCACAACCCTTTGGGGTCGAATGACCCTTTCACAGGGGTCGCCTAAGAGAATCAGAAAATACATGTTTCCGATGGTCTTAGGAACCAAGACACCGCTCCTCTATCCTTCTCCAGGCGGGTCGCCCACATACTAGTACCTGGTATGAAGACTGTTACCCATGCTACACCATGCTGCAAGACATTTCATTTATTTGTAATTAGAAATAAATATTTCACAATATATGATTATGTATTGTTTGTGATGTATGCTTTAATTATGTTCAATTTGTAACAATGAAAATACATCCTGCATATCAGATGTTTATATTACAATTCATCACAGTAGCAAAATTACAGTAGTGGAGTAGCAATGAAAATAATGTTATGCAAAAAATCTTACCA